CCGGGCTGGGGATTCGAACCCGCCACCTTAGGTGTACGTGGCTGGCGCCCCAGCCGGTTGAGCTATAGGCGCCGAGCCTCTTAAGTCAATTTTGATAATTTAATTTTTCTAGAAAAACTGTGTTACCTGGATAAAAAAAATATTATCCATACCTTAGTTATTTCTCTTTTCTTGTGAGGCATTTATTTTTGTGTCTCTTGATTAATAGTCGAGAGATTAGTCAGTGGTTTTAATTTTTTTCCTAAGAATAAACTTTATATTTTATTGATCAAATTTATTATTTGGTTTGTTTTCTGTTTCATTAATTTCTGTCTTTATTCCTTCCTTCATTCTGATATGTGTGTTTTTTTTTTTTTTTTTTTTTTTTTTTTTGAGACACAGTCTCACTTTGTCACAGCTCATAGCAACCTCAAACTCTTGGGCTCAAGCAATTCTCTTGCCTCAGCCTCCCAAGTAGCTGGGACTACAGGTGCCCACCACACAGTGACCAGCCATTTTTTACAGACGGGGTCTCACTCTTGCTAAGGCTGGTCTCAAACCTGTGAGCTCAGGCAGTCTGCCAGCCTTGGCCTCCCAGAGTACTAGGATTACAGGCATGAGCCACCGTGCCTGGCCTGCTGTGTTCATTTTTATTTATTTTCATTCTTAAATCACATGCTTATTTTCTTTTCTTTGTAATTTTTTCATTGTAATAAAAAAAAAAGATAACATGAAATTTATCATTCCAGCCACTTTTAAGTGTGTATTTAGTAGAGCTAAGTATATTCATATTGTTGTGAAAAAAGATCTCCAGCACATTTTATTCTTGTAAAACTGAAACCCTGTAGCCCTTAGCCCAACTCCCTTTTTCCCTCTCCCCCAGTCCTTGGTAACCACTATTCTGCATTCTGTTCTTATGGATTTAACTACTTTCAGATACCTAATATAAGAGTATTTATCCTTATGTGGCAAACTTCTTTAACTTAGCAGAATTGTCCTCGAGGTTTATTCATGTGACAGCATGTGACAGGATCACCTGCCTTTTTACAGTTGAGGAGAATTCTGTTGTTATGTATCACATTTTGTTTATCCGTTCCTCCCTTGGTAGACACTTGTTTTTCTTCTGCCTCATTAAATAGTGCTGCTTAGTACCACTTCAGGACCCTGCTGAGTATACCCAGAAGTGTGACTATTCCTTTTTTAAAATCATCCATATTGGTTCTTGATGCTTCCCAGTTACTTTTAGTGATTTCATTATCCTGTTTTTCCCTAATATATTTCTTTAAACATTTTGATATTTCTGAAATCTTGGTTCTTACAATGATAGGTACATTTAATGTAATTATTCTTTTGCTGCTCTTTACTTAAGTCAATGGTGGGTCATAGTGTCTTGGATTCCTAAGTACGGTGTTCCAGTTGGAGAGAGTGACACTTGGAATAGCAAGTGCTCTTATAAATTGGATTGTATTTAATCTCATTTTCAATGACTTAAAGTAGTTTTGTATTCTAAAACCATGGTGTGTGCATGTTTACAGGTGAACATCATGTAAGAAAAATAGAATTATAAAGTTTCCATTTCTGTGAACTAAGTTACTTTATATGAATTGAGTGATTTTTATACTTTGAAACATACTGGTTTTAACTGAGTATAGATGAGAAGTTTCTATTTTGTAAGGAGCTCTCTTATACATACAGTACATACCTAGAGGAGCTTACATTTGGAAAGATCTGGAGAGCATGACCACCACAATATACATACCACACTGTCCTGTGCCTGCTGACTTCATCTGTTTGAGCATTTGTAGAAACTGGCAGGTGGAGTGCAATGGTATTGGAACTGAGTTCATAAGCTTTTTACCTGAACTTTAAAAACTAAGAAAAATTCATCATAAGAGCTCTCCAATAAATATATAATTTTTAATTTTCAGGGGGTTTTTTTGTTTCTTTTTGGCAATACATTCCTTGGTTTTGTAATGAACTTAAGCTCTTGGCTCGGCGCC